GGCTGTCAGATCTAGAGCTCTGAGACAGCAGAGGCCACCTGGGCCCCACTCCTATGGACCCCAGCACATAGGACACAGTGTCACAGAGCCAGGCTCAGGGCAATGGACAGCAGCTACGAGCCCCAGACAAGCGGCCCAGCAGGCAAGGGGAAGAAAAACCAGACCACTGAGTGAGCCCACACGTCTGTCAGCCAATGCCCAATGCTCAGACTGCAGTGTGGTTTTGATAGTGCAATTTAGGGCATTAAAAGCAATCTTACAAATTACACTGAGTTTAGCCTGGTGGCATAGGGGTAGAATATGGCAACAAGAGGGTATATGTATTACAGGGTAACTGACTTAGGGGTTGAATTGTGTCCCTCAAAAGCCATATTGAAAACTTAAGACTCCCGGTACCTGTGACCATGCCCTTATCTGGAAACAGGACCTCTGCAGATGTCCCTGGTTGGGTGAGGTCACTGGACTCTGGACTGGAGGTCAAGCCTGAATCCAATATGGCAGACGTCCTCAGAAATAGAAGCAAGACACCTGGAAAAGCCGTGTGATGCAGAGGGAGTGCCAGGCAGGAACAGCCACCAGAACAGCTGGAGGAGCGAGGAGGGAGGAGGGCACCCAGAGCTCAGAGCAGGGCACGGACTTGCTGCACCTTGAAGCGGGGCTTCTAGCCCCAGGACCCACTTGCTGGTGCTTTGTTCCAATGGCCCAGGAGACTCCAGCGTCTGTGGAGAAGATGGAGCTGTGCTGCAAGAAAACCAGCAAGCCAGGAGGCCAGGCATTTTCTCGGGCTGCATTGCGATGGAGACCAGAAAGACTCTTCACAGGGCTGGGTGCAAGAAAAAAGCAGGCTGTGACCGTGGCAGAGCTGTCAAGTCCTGCACACAGGCAAGATGGAGGTGACCGGGGACTTCACCTCCACACACCCATGGGCTGAATGCTGACTTTCTGCACATTACTGGCTCACCATGCTGAATATCCACTTCCAGGGTTTTGGGGAGAGGATTAAGCTTGACTACTGGTGGAGAAGGGAAGAAACGAACTTCCAGAGACAGAGGCCAAAAGCAAAGGCTTTCCCAGTCACGTGGACACCCAGGCATCAGCCAGCAGTGGAAGGGTTCCCAGGGACAGAAGGGTCCCCCGGAAGGACAGAATGGAGGTGGCCCCAGGGACACACTGTGATCAGGTGCAGGTGCCCACGCCTGGAAACAAAGGGCTGCCCATCGCCACCCTCTGGGCTCAGCCTGTGTGCAGTTCACGCACATCACGTACAAGGTGGACTTGGACCTGAAGACAGGATGGAGCAACAGGCAGAGCTCTGGGACAGCTGCCACATGGTTTCGGTTCCATTTGGGGTCACACATGATCAAAGACAGCAAAATCAGAGTTTTTAGCCATGTTCAGATGCAAAGGAGAGTTGGAAAAGTGGGCAAATGCTGTCTTTGGCCGACTGGGGGACTTGAGGCATGCTGGGACCCACCTCGAGCTGACCGTGGTTTCCACTTGGAGCGTGGTGAGATGCATGCCGCCACCCTCATTCCCAGGGTCAGTGTGTGGGAGGTACGGCTGGCGTCGTGTGCAGTGGGTGGCAAGAAATTGCAATGTGCACTCTCCTACAGTCGCTCACGATTAGGGCAATCCAAAGTTTGGTAGGGAGCAGCTAAGAAAGAGAAGCTGTCACTATCTGGACCTGGATGTCCCTCAGAGGCATACACTTCAAAGCCTGGTCCCGTCTTGGTGCTGAGGGTAGCAGTGGGAGCTTTCAGAGGGCAGCCTCTGGGCTGTGCCCTACACAGAGACTGCAGGGTGCTGCTCTCTCCTCCTTCTTCTGCTTCTCCACCTCCACAAGTGATGGGCTTCCACACACCCACCCCTGGGATGTGCTACCTGGCCACAGGCTCATCCCACCAAGGAGAGAAACCTCCAAAGCTGGGAGGCAGAATAAACATTTCCTTTTCATTAGCTGATTATGTCACAGTTACGCAAGGCTGAGTAGTACCACATAACTGTTCAACATTATGATAAATATACACGAACACATATGCTCTTAAAAATCAATGTCTTGGTAACTTTTCTCATTGCTGAGACAAAATCCCTAACATCCACAGTTAAAGGAAAGAAGATTAGCTGGGCGTGGTGGTGCACACCTGTAATCCCAGCACTCGGGAGGCTGAGGCAGGAGGATCATTGTGAGTTCGAGACCAGCCTGGGCTACAAAGTGAGTTCCAAGTCAGTCTTAACTACATAGTGAGACCCTGTCTCAAAAAAACAAACAAAAAAAAAAAAAAAAAAAAAAAAGGAAAGAAGGTTTATTTCAGCTCACAGTTTGTAAAGGTTTCAGTCCATAGTCAGCTGACTCTGAGGCAGGCTAGCGGGCAGAGGGGCCTCACAGAGGATGAACAGTCCATGGCAGGGTAGGTAGGAGGCAAGCAACAGCCTGCCTCTCTCTTTTTTTTTCCCTTCCGGGCTACCCACATCCAGGGTGGGCCTCCCACTACCCACACCCAGAACCATGCTAAGCCAATCAGTGGACTAATTTAGTAATCATACCCTGAATCTCGGCATCACACATCCTAGATCCAAAAAGCCCTGCCTAGAACACATGAGATTCTGTGGGACACCGAGATACAAGTTGTAGCAATCAGTAAATCAAAATGTACAAGAAGATGCTAATAACTCTACCTACACAGAAAAAGAAAACCATTTTTATGGGATTGTAACACAATTCTCAATATCATTCCTAAAGTTAAACTTTACAGGGTGGGGTTTTTGTTGTTGCTGCTAAATATTTGAATACTCTTCCTGGAAGCCGTGTGGGATGGTCACAGGTAGTTCAGCTGCAAGCACGCCAGCACATCCCGGGGGAAAGGCTTTCTTTTCAGCAGTCCCATTTTTTTTCTTGAGCTACTCGGAAGATAGCGCAAAGTGTTTTGTTTGTGTTGTTTCAAAATGAATTGAACTGTCTTTCGGTCCTCGCGATGGCCTCGGCTAACTGCTGCCTCTCCTGAGGGGGAGAAAAGGTTATCCCAGTCCGGGGAGCGAATGGGAGTCAGGTCATCTGCTGAACGGAGAGTGGAATGAGAAGCACACGGAAGAATGCTGCGTGTACGCTGCCTTGCTCCAAATATTAAGCGAAAACCCCTTAAAAATAAAAAGCGGTAAATGTCACCCAGCTGCCTGGTGACTGACATTTAACACTGGAAGATGCGATTTTCTTCCCCTCCTGGGGCTCTCCCGAACCTGCTGGTGGAGGTATGGAAGACTCCTGTTTACGAGAGCTCCCTGTTAACCATTCACCAAGCGCCCGAGTCCTTTGCACTCACACTGTCAAGCATGTGTTTGGATTGCGTTTGACCCTTTGTACTGAGGGCCTCCGAGCCTTCTGAAAACAGCCCGTGGGGTGAGCTTGGCCCTGGGCCTTGAAGGAACTCACAGTTTGGTTCCTGCTACAAAATCACACTTCCAGCCACAGCGGCCACCGGGAGGAAGCAGATTAAGCCTGAGTTACAGGTCAGAACTCTGACGTGCAGCTTTACAATTGTGTTTTAGAAATGAGCGCTGACTATTGCTGGGGAGTTATGAAAAATATGCAAAGTTAAAAATAAGAGCACGCTGGCCCCGTCACACCCCTCTCTGCTTTGTGTGTGACGGTCAAAGTTCTCCCCAGCACAGCGTAGGGAGGGGTCTGTGCACCTGATGCCCTGGTGACCCCAGGACTCAGCTTCCCACCCTGGCCAGGTCCACAGGCCAAGCAGCTGCGGAAGACCTGCTGCGCCTTGATTTCTCACCTTCCTCTTAGCCCCCGAAGGACAGACTCCCGTGTTCATCTCTCCTCCTTCGCTCATTCAGTCAACAAACATCTGTTGCAAGGCTATGGGCGAAGTCTTTTGCCATCATTAATCCGGGTGGTCCATGACCTCCAGCTATTCATAATCTCGCTGTGGACATTGACAGGTGCGCGTTTAACTTGAAAACGGGGTTGTGAATGTGCAGGCCACGCGCCCGACGTGGATAACCACAGCACGAGTTCAGAGTAGGGCCCTATCTGTGCCTGGCATTCAGAAGCCCATCCTCAGCACGGATAGAGTTTGGACAGTGCTAAAGGGGCAAGATGTCAGGGAGGAGTGGTCCATCACAGGGCTGAGGGTGGTTCGAGAGCTGGCTGCGCACGAGGGTCCCTGCTCAGGGCTGGGAAGTGGCAGAGTTGTGCACTAAGGGAGGGGGGCTTCTTGGTTTATTCTTGGCGGTGAAATGAAGGGAAGAAAATGTGGTATAATCGAGGAAAACCGGAATATCCAGCTAAACTCAAGTAGAATGTCAGCAGCCGGTGTAACATTTTTCCACCTGTAAAATGGTGTGACATTGACCAGCATTATAACATTTTAATTTTCGAATTTAAGAATTTTCTTACAAGAAATCGGATGCTCTCACCACCTCTCACCTGAGCTAGAGATAAGCAGATCCCTGTGAATAAACCAATCAAGATTGCCCTAACACTTGAAAAATCTGTGGCCAGACCTGCCTCTTCGGCTCCAGAGACGTGGCTGGGGGTGACGGTGCGGCGACCTCGTCCCAGGTCATGTCAGGGGTGTCCGGGGCACTCCGGGTTCCTTAGGGCAGCAAGTAACAAGAGTCCAAACTGCACCCCAGGTCAAAGCAGTGAGGAAAGGGGAGACAAAAAAAGAGTTTCCAAACATGACAAGTGACCCAAATGTCAAAGGAACCTCAATCACTAAAGAATGGGACAGCACTCAGAGCAGCATTCCACGTGGCTCTCACACTTCACGAGCGCCCTGTGACACCCTGGAAGACACCACATACTGTGTCGGGCTCTACAGGACACTGCTTAACCAGGCCAGGGGAAGAAAACCAGTACACACTGGTGGACTGTTCCCTGCTACTTCGTGTTGCATTATGCCCCATAAAAGCGTTTCACAGCCACGTGATGTGACCAAGAAGGAAGTTTGACCCCAAAACAATTACTTTCCAGGAAACGTCCTTCTCCTCTGGGTCTCGTGTTGTCATCTGTTAGGTTTTGAAGTTCTCGCTGTCCCTGATTGCAGACCGAGAAAATAAAAGAATGCGGGGGCTGGGCACACTGTACACAACCCAGACACAAATATTTTGGGGAATTTCCTGGGCGAAAATGCCTGAAAATGCTGATGCTTACATTGAAAGTGAAGGAAGAGGCTGAGTTTAGCAGTGGAGCATGGGCCTGACTCCAGGTCCTCTCTCACCTGGGTCCCGTGAGCATTCAGCAGGCTCTCGGTCCCGGGGTGCGCTCCTCTTGCACGGTTGTATTATCTCAGAGACAAAAGTGAGTTTATCTTACTGCTGGTGGAAAACGCCCCCTGAAACGGGGACAGCTATAAAGTGACAACGTATTTAATCCTCCTTTCACCTCGCATGGACTCTGCACCCTGGAAAACATACCAAAGACAGGACAGAGGCAGACGGGGGCGTCCACACCCAGGCCTCGCTCCTCAGCCCCCTCTCCGAGCCAGAGTCTCCGATCAGTTGGCTCTGTGAGCTTCCTACTCATCGACATCTCAAGTGTGTCTAAACCATCTGTGTCAGCACTGCAGAAACACACCTCTTACCACTCCAATCCGTGTCACAGGAGACTGTCCTGTGATGCGTGAAAACACGAAATTCTAACGCATGTGAAAAAATACATTCCACTTGCTTCGTGGCCTTTGTTTATCTTAAAATTTTGTTTTATTTCATCAAAAGGGTAAATACACCTCAAATCAGCCATTTAAATCTTGATCATTTTGAAGAACTGATTAAGGCCGAGGCTTGAATTAGTTCCTAGAGCTCAGAAGGACTTCAGAACAATTGGTTAAAATAGAATTCACGTAGCATGAGATTCATTGCTTTAAGATTCACTACTATCCAGTCCTTTTTATTTGACCCACAAAATCGTAAGAACATCACCACTACCTGTTCTCACCCCGACGTAAAGCACATTAAGTTGCCCCTATTTCCTTCCAGTGCACCTCACGTCTCCCAGCAACCCTGAGTCCACTTCCTGTCTGAGGTTTCCTCCCCCGGACGGCTTGGTATAAACGCAGTCACACAGTCTGTGGGCTGTCATGGCCCCTTTCACCTAGCACAGTGTTTTTGAGTTTAGCCAGGCTGTGGCAAGGGTCAGAACTTCATCCTTTCCAACAACCCCATCCACAGCCTGTCGCACAGATAAGCCACACCTGCTTGTCCGCCCACCTGCCCAGGACCATTTGTTTCCGACACTCGGGAGCAGCTTTTTCTTGTGTCGACATACCTGTTCGGCTCTCCCGAGCGTATATCCAGATGCAGAATCACTGGGTCACACAGCAACTCTGTTCATACCCTGAGGAATCGCCAACCTCTTTCCTAAAGGGGCTGCACTATTTTATGCTCCCACCAGCAATGGGTGAGGGTCCTGGTTTCTCTACATCCTCACCAACATTTGTTTCAGAAATACTTGTGTGTAACAATTCACAATAGCTAAGTCTTGGAAGCAGCCTGCATGTTCCTCAAGGGATGAATGAGAAAGAATACACAGTGGAGTACGATGCTGCCACAAAGAAAGATGGAAAATGGATGCAGCTCGAGACCATAGTGTTAAGTGAAATAAATCAGACACACTAGATTAACTATCACATGGTTTCTCTTACAGGAGAAACCTAATATAAATAAAGAGCAAAATAAAAGACAAGTGGGAAGTAGGGTGATAGATCTTTCTCACGTGGGAAGGGGGTCAAGAGATGGAGGGAACAGGAGGCAGGGGACGAGGAAGGGGATGAGAAAAGGAGTTAAAGTGTCCCGAGCATGGGCCCACTCCATACCAGGAATCTGAACGTCAGGTACTACAAAGAGGGACTCGTACAAAAGGACAGGATCTTGATCAAATACATGTATGAAATTTGGGAGCCGGGACACAGGACTGGTTCTTACACTGACAGTCTGAGCCCAGTGACGCGATACACAGCCTGTAAACTATCAAAGGGAGAAATAACCGACCTCGACCAAGCACCGCCCACTGCATGTGACGCGATACACAGCCTGTAAACTATCAAAGGGAGAAATAACCGACCTCGACAGAGCACCGCCCACTGCACCAGCCGGCTCCGGAGACAGCGCCAGCTCTGCTCAGAACTCTTGGAAGCAGAGAGGTGGGCTGGAATTCCCAGACTGCCCCAGGGTGAGGAAGGGCCACCTTCTGGGTCCTACGGTGGGGGAAAATCGCCTTTGTGCCTCGTGGGGTTGGCATAAGTGAAGGACGATGGTGTGCTCATGATCTTGGACATGTGTGTGGGTGTAAATGCAGGCAGAGGCTTACGATTTTAGGAAGCGAATCCTAGGCAAATTATGTTGGGGCATACAAATCACATACTGCTGTTTGAGGCCATTATGTTACACATACATGCATGCACACACACACTCATGCGCACACACCCACGTGTGCACACCCTGGCATATACACACCCATGCACACACACATGCCACACACACCCATGCACGTGCATCCACATGTGCACAGCCATGTGTGTGCACCCATGTATACAAACCCATGCTCACGTGCACACCCATACACACGAGCACACACATGTGTACACACCCATACACACGAGCACACACATGCACACGCAGCCACTAGATACCACTGCCCATGCACCCAACTCCCATCCATGCATCTTGAGTGTGAGGCAGGTCCTTCCAAGTCTTGGTCGGCAAAAAGGTTTGCTAAATAATTTAAAGCACAGTTAAAATCACTGCATAATTCAGTGCTCAAGTGTACTCATCTCAGTTCTTTGATACGTTTTACATTCTTGTTGCTCTGGTTACAAAGTCAACATCATGCCCAATTGTTGATGGAGTTTCTTTTGTTTTTTTGTTTTTTCCTAAATGCCAACATTCCAGGGTGGGCAGCAGTTGACTACATTGTAGTATCATATATATACGATGGGAAAATGTGCCAATAAATATTACATTTCACAACACATCAGCATAGTTTTGTGAAATGAGAAAGTACTCATTATATCAGCTGTGTGAAAAGCCACTTTACTGAGCTATAGATGAGAGCAATCCTGTGCTATCACAGACTGCAGCGTGACTCCAAACATCGCCACCCTGAGAGGGAAGCTATGGCCTTTCTAAATGCAAAAATACGCATTGCAAACAGTTCTAAAATTCCATTTTTAAATGAGGCTATGAAAAAAGCAAGACTCTGTGTAGGTAAAAATGGAGGAACCCTGGAAAGCAGAAGCCCTATAAAATTGTGTTTAGCTTAATGGAACATCAGGAATCCATTCTCTAAAATAGCTCGTCTCCCAGAAGGATCTCCGTGTGTCTCCAGAGACCTGGGAGTCTTCTGCTGTTACCTCAGGACATGGGTTCATCTCTACATCCTACTGCCGGTCAGATCTTCACATCAGGCACGGGTAAGGCAGCAGCACCCTGTCTTACTGCTAGGGCACTGGAGGTCTGGCTCCGCTTGGTGAGAGAACCCAGTAAGAGTGTCCTTGTTTCCTCCAGTACATTGCTAGAGTCTGGTGGGCCCTTTACATCTGGCCTCAACTTACCCTGATGTCTTCTGGAAGAAAAGAAACAAAGATCCTCTCCGGCAGCCAGGTGGAGCCCTGTGCCTCCACCCAAGAGGCCCCCAGCACCTAGAATCCAGCCTAGCATACACTTGTCCACGCTCCGTTCTTCCCCTGCAGGGACGTGGAAGGCAAGGACCAAACCTGGTCATCTTTGTGCCTCCAGTGCCTGCAATAGGATGAGTGCTTCACAAATGTGTGATTTGGGGTGGCCGTCACCTGCTAAACCTTTGTGAAAGAAGAAATTGTGTTTCCACTTCTGCTCAGCAGTCACGCCGATAATGGTAATGTGCACTATGTGTGGTTGTTCAGAGTGACAAGTTGTACGCAGCGTGTGTTCGTGTGTATATGTGTGTGCACCTCTGTGTGTGCACATGTGTATATGCATTGCCTGGCACTTGATGACTGCTAATGAAAACTTTGAGGAAATGATCTGCTTAGATTAAAGCTGTTTCCACCAAATTTGAGTCAAATATTATTTTTTCTAAAACCCTGACATGAGCTGGGTGCAGTGGCCACACCTGTAACCCCAGCGCTCTGGGAGGAGGATGCAGGAGAATTGCAAGTTCGGGCCCAGCCTGGTCAACAGCAACTTAGCAAAACCCTGTCTCAAAATTGAAATAAAAATGAAAATGCGCTGGGGATGTAGCACAGCATTAGAAGACTGTTGTGTTCAATCCCGGGTACCAAAAAAAATCAACATGTTTACCTTGTCTACGAAGTCCATTGACTTTAATGTAAGCTGAGCGTGCTGCTTTATTAGAATACATTACTAATTCAGTTAGCAACGGGTGTTCAAACAAACCCCTCTGTGTGAGTCTCCAGCCATTCTCTTGCCCCACTAGCCCCTGGCAAACGCAGAAGAGATGAACCAAAAGTGTTTGTTCCCGAGGGTGCTTACATGCAGGTCCATTGTCCACTGTGCAGCAGCTCGTCGCCCGTCTCAGACTTCTGCTCTCCCTGCCCGATTCAGCCCTGAGCTACAGACCTGAATCTCCTGATAAATATTAACTGAACCAATAATTGAAAAATAAAAACCTGCGCACCTTCTCCAACCCAAGCCCCGTCTACATTTTAACTTGATCAGATGATCACATACAATTTACGGAGGAAAAAAAAGTCAAATCAGTGCTGAGTCACTTTTCACTGGAAATCCCACTTCAGATGTCCTTCCTGCAAGCATTATGGGCTCCGTGGAGTTTATGTATTAATCTTTCAACGCAACCTGGGAAGTGATCAAAACGTGAGCATCTCTCTGGATTTCTTATTTTGAGAATTTCCAACTACAGTTCAGGTCCTGGAGTCCTCACTCTGCCTAACTCAGGGCCCAGTGAACACAGATGGCACAGGGAGGCTGGGCTAAGCGTGGATTTAAAAGACCTAGTTCACCAGTGGTGGGCGGGAAATGTGTGCTATGCTTATACGGTGGGGTTTGCCCTGGGCGTGTCTGGCTGGGTCGTGGAGGTGTCATCTTGTGTCCCGTGTCTGGTTCCTGCCCCCTCCTCTCTGGTGCTCCTCCCTGGCTCTGTTTCCCAGCCATCATGAACTACATGGCTCCGTTCTCCCATACCCTTCTGCCACGCTATTCTTGCCTTGGAGACAACAGACCATGAACTGAGCCCCCTGAAACCGTGAGCCACATTACGCCTCTCCTATAAGTTATGGGTATTGGGTATTGTGTCCCAGCAATGGGAAACCCGACCAACACAGGTGCAAGCTCACTTCATTCCCAAACTTCCACCCCAAACGTTGGCAGCTGGACCTGAGTGTGTGGCGGTGAAGAGGACCCCCCCCCCGGGAGTGGTCATTCAAAGGCAGTCACCTGCATCCGCCACCGAGAGGCCACCTAGGTGCAAGTCCCTACCCACCAGCCCCAGCAGGAAGGCCATTTTGTTCTCAGGAGAAAATCTGTTTTTAATTTGTTCTAGTCACTGTGATTTTGTGGGCAC